ACCTGGTAGGGCATGATCAAGGGAAATGTAACAAAGTTCCAGTACTTTCTCAGACCTCTTGTCTGCTTTTAGAGTAAGGGTGGAACTTGTGGTCTCATGTAGATGGTTGTTCCCCCACCCACCCACCAGGGGGCACTGTACCAGTCTGTAGGAGCGTTGGTGGCATGGTGGTGATGCGTTGGGCTGTGATCTACAAGGTCAGTAGTTCTAAACCACCAGTCACTCAGAGAGAGAAAGACAGGACTTTCTAGTCCCATAAAGAGTTTACAGTCTCAGAAACCCACAGGGGCAGTTCTACCATTTCTTAAGGGTTGCTGTGAGTCAGCTGTTGAATCCATGGCAGTGAAATACCACTGTGTTGGTTTGTTAATTATCACGGGCTCATGAGGGAGGGGGGAGTAGGGAGGGAAGGGAAAAAAAGAGGACCTGATGCCAGGGGCTTAAGTAGGGATCAAATGTTTTGAGAATGATGAGGGCAATGAATGTACAAATATGCCTTACACAATGATGTATGTATGGGTTGTGATAAGAGTTGTATGAGCCCCTAATAAAACTATTAATAAATAAATAAATAAATAAATAAATAAATACATTTCATTATCAGCAGGAAAAAAAGCGACCTCCGAGGATAGCTTCAGTTCAAGGTTCAGAGACTGTCTCAGGGAAGTCGTCCTAGGGAGTCCTTTGGTCTCAGCTGGTAGAGTGAATCTGTACTTTTCAAGAATGTGAGTTGTGATCTTCATTTTCCTCCAGATCTATCAGAATCCATCTGATGAGAACAGTCGATAGGGGTTTTTCAGCACCGTCTCGGTTCGGTCTCAATGCCAAAGGTCAATTAGGAACATGGACATCTCATTAACCACTCTGTTCTTCCCACTGGAGTGAGGACAGAAACATCCCACCATCCTTTCCCGTCCCTAAATGATTGCCTTCAACTGGAGGGCTAACTCTGTGGTCAGAGCACAGAACCCATAGCTTGACAGCCTTTTCTAGGTGCGGTAGTCCCGCCAACAAACAAGGTCACTTGTATCAACAGGGACTCCACTCCTCTTCTGCTCCTCTAGGCCTATAGGTTTTGGCAGCTGATGACTCTTGATCTGAAAGCCTGGAGCTCTTTCCCCCTTTAGGCTTAGCTGACAGTGCTGATGAACCAAAGGTTAGTCAGAGCTGTGACGGCTGTAAAACTCCTTCCAAACAGTTCAGCAAAATCCCAGGCATCATGACACAGCATCAAGCGGAACTGCCAGTGAGGACAGCAGCGTGTGCTGACTCACCAGAGATCCAGCCCCTCTCCCCTCAGCCTGCAGATTTTACCTCCTTCCTTTCCTCAGTGCTGCTGCTGAGCATGTGTGGCAGAGGAGTGGAGGGGCAGCTACAGGCAACAGCTTGAGGGATAGTTCATGAAGGGTTGGGATATACAACAGTCAAGAGATGCCCTATTTTCCATCTGGCTGACAGACTTATTAGTCAATTGGAAAATTACACATCTCACAAATAATTACAATGGATTTTTTCCAGTATGTGTGTGACGGTAGGCTAAAGCTGCTTCGTCAGCATCCCCAAGATAAAATATTTTTCTGTTGTTTTAAAAATGAACCTACTTGGCTGGAAAAATGTTGCCTACACAAATTCAATAGAAGAAAGCGGCAAAACTGCTACTACTGGTATAATTGTTTAATCTGCCCCCATGAAGACATTTATCTTGAGTAGATTTTTAAAATGACCACAAGCATGAATTTTCCATTATGTCTGTCCTGCGTTTTGAAACTTACACTGTATATCTTCGTATGATGTCACATGACATGCCCTCAAATTATTCCCGGAATTGTGCACAGTTGGATGTACAAGTTGGAGAAAATTATAGAACAAGTTCTAGAGGAAGTTTTCAGATAAGATGGGAAGTCCTGATTAGAGGGCTGAGTTGTTGCCCCACCATTTCATTCAAAGACCTGAGAGAAAAGTGGGCGATACTGGGAGGGTAGAGGGAGAGTGGGTTGGAAAGAGGGAACCGATTACAAGGAACTATATGTGACCTCCTCCCTGAGGGACGGACAACCGAAAAGTGGGTGAAGGGAGACGTCGGAGAGCACAAGATATGACAAAATAACAATTTATAAACTATCAAGGGCTCATGAGGGAGGGGGCAGCGGGGAGGGAGGGGAAAAATGAGGACCTAATGCTGGGGGCTTAAGTGGAGAGGAAATGTTTTGAGAATGATGAGGGCAATGAATGTACAAATGCGCTTCACACAATTGATGTATGTATGGATTGTGACAAGAGTTGTATGAGCCCCTAAAAAAATGATTAAGAAAAAAAAAGAAAACAAACAAAAACACAGACCTCAATTGGAAGACTTGGCTTCAGGCCCTTGACTCTACTACTGATGAGATAAACTTGTTAGGCGCCATCGAGTAGCTTCCAACCTCCAGCACAACCAAGCGAAACAGTGCCCAGCCCGGTGCCGTCCCCACAATTGCTTCTAAACTAGAACCCGTTGCTGCAGCCCTGGTGTCCATCCATCTACTTAGGGCCTTCCTCTCCTTCACCAAACATGATGTCCTTCTCCAGGGACGATTCGTTCTCTCCTGACATCATGTCCAGCGTATGTCAGATGAAGTCTTGCCACCCTTGCCTGAAAGGAGCACTGGGGCAGTACTTCCTCCGATACAGATCCGTTTGCCCTTTTGGCAGTCCATGCTACTTTCTAGATTCTTCTCCAGCCCCACAATTCAAATGTAGCTCTTCTTCTTCAGTCTTTTTTATTCAAGGTCAACTTCCGCATGCACGAGGCACTGGAAAATACCACGGCTTGGATCGGAAGCACCTTAGTCCTCAAAGTAACATCTTGTGCTTCAAGACTCTACAGAGGTCATGGGCAGCAGATTTTCTCAGTGCCACTTGCCTTTTTATCCCGCCATTCCTTCTCCCACGAGCATTGTCTTTCTATCCCTTCATTGCTGCTTCCATGAGCATTGATTGTGGACCCAAGCAAGACAAAATCCTTTAACCTCTTCTCCACTTATTGTGATGTTCCCTACAGGTCCACTTGTGAGGGTTTGGGCCTTCTTTATATTGAGCTGTAAGCCATACTGAAGGCTGCAATCTTTCATCTTCATCAGCAGGTGCTTCAAATCTTCCTCATTTGTAGGAAGCAAGGTCGTGTCATCTACCTATCGCAGGTGGTTAATAAGCCTTCCTCCAATTCTGATGCCACATGCTTCTTCATATACACCAGCTTCTCTGCTTATTTGCTCAGCAGCGGGATTGAATAAATGTGGCGAGAGAATGCAACCCTTTCGCACACCTTTCCTGAGTTTGGACCATGCAGTCTTCTCTTACTCCATTGGCACAGCTGTCTTTAGATCCATGTCCAAGTTCCTCATGAGCACAACGACGTGTTCTGGAATTCCCATTCTTCTCAAGGCTGTCCAGAGTTTGTTAGGAGGCACACTGCTGAAAGCCCTGGCAGAGTCAATAAAACACAAATTAAACAGCTCTCTGGTATTCTCTGCTTTCAGCCAAGATACATCTGACCTCAGCAATGATAGCCCTTGTTCCACTCCCTCTTCTGAATCCAGCCTGAACCTCTGGGAGTTCCCTGTCAATGTACTGCTGCAACTGTTGTTGGATGATCTTCAGTGAAATTTTATTGGCGTATTATATAAGTGATATTGTTCTATACAGAGAGCCAGGCAGATCATTTGACCTCTTTGTTCTCAGTTTCTTCATATGCAACATGGGAATGATTCTATGCAGGTATCTTCTTCCAGGTGCAGCCTAAAAGCTTGGAGCGGAACAAAGCTGCTCTTGCATTTAGCTGTGCTGTGTGTGGCTCCACCTCCACTCTTCATGCACGCCCCTCCCTGGTGCCTGTCGTGGAGCCTGTGGGTGGGCTCTGGGATGCTCCACCCAGGTGCTTCTTCAGAACTGGAGGACTTGCACCCCCATCCCCCACCCTATCACTGGGACTGTGGCTTTCGGATAGCCCTTAGCTCTCAGCCCTCTCTAGAAACTGCATTTGGCTAGAGAGAGTCACCTAATCTGGGCTCAGACCTGTTTCCTGGGGCAAATCCTATGTAGTGGCTCATCAACGCTGAGGACATCATGCCCAGTCCTCGTGCCTCAACTTGGAACATCTCTGCAGGACGCGGCCTCGGAAACAGTGTTCTCAAGTGATGTGACCATCTGTGTCTGTGAAGACGATGGCCGCAGGCACAGTCAGTTGGACTCTGTCTTATGGGGTCACTATTAGTGACAACGGACTTAATGGAAATGGGTAATGGGTGGTACGAGCCCTTGCTAGTGAATTTCCTGCATGTTAATCTCCATCTCTGGAGTCTTCTTCCCAGGGAACTCACAGTGTAGCAATCCCTCTATGGTGACCTACAGTCAGTCTTGGCAAGAGGAATTTCTACAGAGAAGAACACACAGTTACCCCCTTCCCCCTTTCACGCCATTCACATTGGGAGCTGTGGAGAGGAGCCTCCCTCTGCCTGGAACTTTTCCTCAGGGGTGGTAATAAGAGCTTCCTTTAGAAGGGCTGTTGTGTGCCAGGCACCAGGCTGAGTAAGCACTTTATAGGCTCCGTCTCATTAATCTTAACCATGATCTTGCTGAGCAGTTGCTACTGCCTTCCTGTGTACTGATGTGGCCCACTGTTAGCAGATGTAAATGCTAGGACACGTAGTTAGTGAAGGGCAGATGGGACTGGCTCCCATGGAGTGGATCCGCTACCCGGACTCTTCAGTGGTGCTGCAGGCAGACCTGGAAGAGCTAGCGGGCCGCCGAGTCATAGCACCAGGCAATTATTGACAGTCGATGCCAGCATAGCGCACCTAGGCTGGGAAAGTGTGCCTTAAAAACAACAGCATGACTACTATCCCTTTGGCAAGGACTCTTTTGAATGTATAAATGATGCAAGGGCATCTGTGTCAAATATATTGATTATCTCGGCCTTTTATTGGATGCCTGTCACTTACAAGTCAGAGAGCTAGTTCAACACCTGACATGTGATGAACCCTTTCAACAACTTCTCAGTGTTGACATTACTAAGCTAGGAGGAATGATGCTCAGAGGGTGGGATTCACTTGTCCACGCCAGGGTGAGCAGCTAGCTCAGTTCACCCAAGAGTGAGCAAGAAGGATCCAGGCTGTTGGCTTTCAGTGCTAAAACCAGGCAAGTTCCCTACAAACTGGAATAAGTGGCTCACCGTAGGGTGGAGCTGAAAAATATAAACACAACAAATATACAATGGAAACAATTGTAATAATAAACTCTTTTCACCAAGTGGCTAAATATTCATTGCAAGGTAAAATTGAGAATAATGCTGGAGCTAACTAGCCATTCCCCATGATTAAGGTGTTGTCCCTGCACTAAACATGACTATGGGACAACTGGCTCTCTGTGCGCTTGGCTGGAGCAGCACAACAGAAATCTAAAGCCACTTACCTCATCTGAAATCTGACCTCCGAATGTCACCCATGTTCCTAGAAAAGAACACATATAGGCACATTATTTATAATCATTTTCTAATGTTGCGCATACATGACAGGAAACCGTTTCCAATCCAGGGCTGCTTCAACAAGTGGCACAGGTAGTTCACTGCACAAAGACGCCTGTCCAGGGGCCATAGAGGGGCCAGGGGCCAGCCCACCCTCCTCTAAGAACTTCAGTTGGAGGTCAGTAGCCCTCTGGCGAAGGGTGCCTTTTCTTCATGCTGAAGAACCATATAGGATGACGGCCCTAGCCTAAGAAATCTTCTGATACAGCACATGAATGTTGGTGTGCAAGAAGACATCAAGGCAGGGCTACCAAGCTCATAAGAAGCTGTGGTGGGGAAGTGGTTCCCCAAAAGGAGGTGGTTCAAACCTACCAGCTGCTCCAAGGAGAAGAACGTGGCAGGCGGTATCTGTAAAGATTCTGGAAAACCAAGGTCGCTGCCATCGAGTTGCTTTTGACACACAGTGATCCTATGGGAAGGGCAGCACTCCCCTGTGGGTTTCCAAGACTGTAACTCTTCAAGGGAATGGAAAGTTCCTCTTTCCACTGTAGAATGGCTGGTGGTTTTGGATGGCTGACCTTGTAATTAGCAGCCCAATGTATAACCAACATACTCCCAGGCATCCTTCATAAAGACCACAGCCTCAGAAGCCCTAGAGGGCAGATGTCCTCTGCCCTACACTTTCAAGACCCAGGAGGAGACCTTTAAAGTCCAGAATGAAAGGCTCCATTGGTTTGGGGGGTAGGGAAAGGGGTGGAGGCAAGACACAGTCAGCAGACAAAAATTTGTATTCGTAGAGCCAGAAAGAAGCAGGTGGGGCCATACCTTTGAATAAAAATGTTATTAGGGCTCAAAAACAGTTGGTGAGTGGACACATCAATAGCTAAGGTAGCTGGAGAGCAGAGCCAAGTCAAACTCACTGTTACTGAGTTTATTCGGAGTCATGGTAGTAAGGAAGGGGGTGCCCAGGCTAGACTGAAGAGAGGTGGCACTCAAGGAAAGCTTCAGGGAAGAGGTGACATGTTGAATCTGAGAGGAGTTAACAGAAGGGACAAACCTTCTGAGAACACGGGTAAACCAAAGAGGGTGCTGATGTGGCATGTGGGGTATTGGGCTCGAGCTGAAATAGGGGTTCAGGAGGCAGCAGTGAAGGAGCCAGGGCCCGGCGGCACACGTGGTATTTGTGGAGACAGAGAAAAAATTTAAACACTTAGGTTTTACATTTCATAGTAAGAATCATAACTACCTCTTATGAAATTTATTTTAAATGCCAGATATTATGCTAAGAAATTTGTATGCTTTCATCTATAACCTGTTAAATACATTTACAAGGCAATTTTATTCTCCCCGTTTTTCCATGAGTACCCTAATATCACCCAGGCTAATTAGTGAACTACTTGGGGATTCTCCAAAAACATCTCGCTTCAAGAAGGGTGTTGTCATGGATTGAACTGTGTTGCCCTGCAACCCCAAATGTTTTCAATTCTAACCCCTGGTTATAATCCCATTTGAGATTAAGATTTATTTTTTATGTTAGTAAGGCAGTATTCATGTAGGGTGTATCTCAAATCAATCTCTCTCCTTTGAAATATAAAAGAGGTTAAGCAAGCAAGTGAGCAAGCAGAGATGGAGGCAGAGAGGTGCCAAGTTATAGGAAAGGAGCAGAAACTCAAAAAGACAAGGACCTTCCTCCAGAGTAGAGAGAGAGAGAGAGAGAGAGAGCCTTCTTCTAGATTCAGTGCCACACATTGGGCTCTCAGTCTCCTAAACCCTGGTGGCACAGTGGGTTATGTGTTAACTGGAAGATTGACAGTTAAAACTATCAACTGATCCACAGGACAAAAAAGACGAGGTTTTCTACTGCCATAAAGAGTTACAGTCTCAGAAGCCCACAGGGGCAGTTCTACCCTGCCCTATAGAGTCACCATGAGTCAGAATTGACTCCACTAGAGTGAGTTTGTTTGTTGAAATCATGGAAAATGTATTTTTATTTGTTTGTGGTATTTATGTTAGAGCCCTAGGTAACGAAGACAGGTGTCCTTTCTACTGTGCCATGCCGCTCATAGAATTTTCAAATCAATGAGCACACATATGTCTGAAACTCCACAGAAGTATATGGATGTGAATGTACATTTGCTCAGTTCTCAGGCACTGAAATAAACTTTTCTATACCCTAGTCACTGTTGACTTGATACCCTAGTCACTGTTGACTTGATACCCTAGTCGCTGTTGACTTGATACCCTAGTCACTATTGACTTGATACCCTAGTCACTGTTGACTTGATACCTGAGCTAGTGTTGACTTGATACTCTAGTCGCTGTTGACTTGATACTCTAGTTACTGTTGACTTGATACTCTAGTCACTGTTGACTTGATACCCTAGTTACTGTTGACTTGATACCCTAGTCACTGTTGACTTGATACTCTAGTCACCATTGACTTGATTCCCTAGCTACTGTTGACTTGTACTCTAGTC